CTTGATAATTTTGGGAACTAATCATATGTTTCATAGGTTTCATATGAATACATATGAGTATTCTTTCTATATTTGTATAGCATATATTCAGTTACTTACAATAATGTTAAATCAAGGATGAAGTTTAATTAATTTCTAAATTTAGCCACCATAATATTAGGTGTCAATAGTTCAGTAGCAATCATCACTATATAAAGCATCAAACATACATTCTCTCATTTTCTATCCACCCAAATACTCAAGTATAAAAGGTTTGGGGTTCTCTTTATCAAAAGACATAAAGTGTCTGTTTAAAGTCTTTTTTAACACTAACGAATTGAAGTATGAAGGTACATTTTATTGATCAAAAAAGTAACAGTGAGAACATTATTTATAGTTATGCCCATACATTCAGGTATACTAACGAATCATCTAATATTCAAATTGTTGGTTGTGATTATGCAGAATAATTCAATGCTGGAATGCTCACAGAAACAAGAATATTAGCTTCAAAGTGTATGACCATGTTGTTTGGTCCAATTCACATTAATTCTAGAAATTATAGTACCACGAGGATCATATGATTCCACCTCCTTAGACTTCTCATATGTAGGCAGCAGGTAGTCCCAAATCGAAATCAACCTTAAGGCAAAATTTATTGAATCGTGAGACTCCGTATCCGTGTAGCATGCGATGAAAACCACAGTGACTCGGCCCTCTTTGTCGAGGATTAGAGATACGAAGATCTGAAGCTCTTGAGCGACTCGACCCTCTTTATTTTGAATAACTTCTCAAAAGTACTTCTTTAGGATTTCTTCCGTGCTACAGTTTTTACGGATAACATTGTAAACATTAATTAGAAGTTTCGGAAACTTTGACGAAAAGTAGCTGTCTAATCCCTCCGGGCAGCTTCCTACTAAGCTCTTCACACCTACATCAATCTCGTAGTAGTGTCGTCGTTTGTTGCGAGTGAAGCACTACAACTCTTGAACCAGCTCGTCATCGTATGTTCCAGTTCTTGTCAACTCGGGTACGAAGGCTGCTTCAACAAAAGTGAATTGGCAATCTCCTTGCCAATCCCCTCGCATATTCTCTAGCTCAATCTGGATTGCCGAGGGGGGAGGATTCTTCACTTTCAAGATTTTCTTTTTAGAAGGATTGGTTTGGTTTGGCTCTCCCCCAAATCGGTCGCTTGCGTTCGAAAGGAACTTCAGCCGTTCCTTAGAATCCCAGAACATCGGATGACGAGGAACCTCCACAGATCTTGACCTTGTGAAATTAACATAGTTATCAGTTATGAAGTCCATCTAAAAAATAAATTAAACGATAGTATCATTGTCTACTCCGATTATATTGACATTTTAGCATGAAAATTTAGTTCTTAAAATGATATTAAAGCTAATTAGTTTGATTTTGATTTGATGTAAGTTTGACACCCATAATTTAGAGTAACCTATTTTAGGACCTGTTTGGCTCATATGTGCACACCAGAATATTGAAGTATTTGTTCCACACCGGAATAATACATAATAACAAGAGAATGTACAACTTTATGGACTACGTCTATTGAGTGAATCATTTAATATGAAATCGCACATCTTAACATAGTATCAGAGCAAATTGGTTTGATTGTAGTTTGATTTTATGATTTTAGAAGGAGCAATTTGGTGCAATGGGTAAAGGTGTGCATGCGTGCATTGTAGTTGTCTGTGAAGTCGAGGGTTTGATTCCTTGCTCTTCCATTTATTGTAATACCCGAGATTAATTGAAAAGGATTAATAGTACTACTCATACCAACAAGATGCATCTCCATTTAAGGGAGTAGTCTTGGGATGGGTGACCCCCTAGGAAGTTTGCCACGGGGTCGGGGTGTTACAGTAGGGAACCCTTCTTTAGAGTTTATTTGGCTCATTTGTCAACCCTCATTCGCCCCATGGTTTGGTCCGATTTGAAGTGAGCGTGTGTGTTGAAGTATTTATTTCTCACCAATACATTTTTTTCTGTATTGAACAATTTTGTTTGTGTGCCCAAACAAAATGGTTAGGAACAAATAAAAATGTATAAATTGTTTGTGTACATACAACTAAATATCTGTATATAGACATTGGGTTCTGTGCAACCAAAGAATGGTATTTCTGCAACACAACACACCAGACATTTAATTATCTATAGACAGACAATCTGTATATTTTTGTCAGTGCATATGCTTAACAGTTTTGTATGGTATACAGCCATTGAAAAATCGGTGTTTGTATACGCAGGAAAAAATTCCAATGAATGTTCATCTACATATCTCCGGCGACTTTGCGGAGAATCTCAAACTCATTTTTTTTAATTGATCCTAAAGATGAAAATGGTAAAGATGATGAGGTGATGGATATAGAAGATGGTGAAGATGAGATGTGATGAATATGGTGAGGTAGATGGAAGTAGAAGATGATGGTGAAGATAGAGATGAAGTGATGAAGAAGGAGATGGTGGATGTGAAGAGGATGGAAATGTGAGAAAAAATATAGAAGATGAGGGAATGAGGGATTTTCAGAGAGAGAGAGAAAGGGGAGGGATGAGTAAAAATGTGGGGCTTTATATAGTGTGTGTCAAAGGTGTATACAATTTGTGTACACCAAACATGATTGCATTAAATTAAATGAAAAGGAAAAGCTAAGTAACCCTTTCAATTTTCAAATCAAGTTGGCATTTGCACGAGTCATCGATATTTCTATCTCGACTTCTCACGTTCATAAACTAAGTTTAATTTATTTTCTTTAAGATTCTTTACCCAATTACTTGATTACTTGATTTGCCGGAATGGTTCAACTATTCAAATTAGGAGTGGGCAAATCGGTTTATGGTCGGTTTTCTTCGGTTTCGGTTCGGGTTTGATTTATTCGGGTTGGGAGAACTCGTACCAAACTAAAACCATTTGTGTTTCGGTTTGGTTTCGGTTTGGTTTCGGTTCGGTTCGGTTTGAAGTTCAGTTTACCAAAATAAAAACTATTAGGTTTAATTTGGTTCGATTTGATTCATTTTCTTATGTTAATTGTGATATTATTTGATCAAGTCCTTATATTTTATAATTAGAAAATGAAAGTAGTAGTTCATCTCATCTTCTTTTATTAATTATTTAAATAAAATGTAAACGGAAATAAATGATAGAAAAATATACGATAAAATATTATAAATTAAAAATTCTAACATCTTTTCGATCACTAAAAAAAGATTCACTTTTCACAAAAAATAAGATTATAGTTGATTAACATTTATAATACAGAGTATCGCATAAAATATTGAAAAAAACAAGAGTCGGTGGTAAAAATGTTGTAATATTCACAATTTTATTCAAATGAATCATGCAAAAAATATAAATGCAATTTGTTATGATTATCACCAAACTTAACAAATACAAATATGTCGTATTATTAGCTAACTTTGTCGTAATGAATGTATGAAATGTGTAAAAGTTAAAATGATATACTCCATATGTTAAATATGTATTTTTTATGTCTAAATTATTTATTTATATATATCGAGTACAACTCATTGGAGCTCTCATTATGATTATGTTCTTAGTATGATAGAATTGTACAATGCTACTTACAAGGTACTTGAGAATATAGCTTGTGGTGGACCGAATCCTAAGGCTCAAAATGAGGCAGATGGAGCTTGCACTAGCGTGAAGAGTTTTAATTTTGTCTTTGGCTTGCACGTAATGAAAGCTATTATGGCTATAACTCATTTTCTTTGTCAAGCATTTCAAAAGGAATCAGTGGACATATTATCAGCGATAGGATATGTTTCAACATCCAAAACTCTTCTTCAAAATCTAAGGGATGATGGATGGGACAATTTGTTGAAACAAGTTGAAGAGTTTTGTTTAAAACATAGCATCACTATCCCAGACATGAAGAGCAAAATGCGGCGCGGGCGGAGTGAGATGGATCTTGAGCATTATTACCGCTTTGAATACTTTACTCAATCCATAGATTATCAAGTGGCTGAGTTGAATTCAAGATTTAGTGAGAAATCTATTAGACTACTTGAGCTCAGTGTGGCATTGGATCCGAGCAACTCCTTTGAATCCTTTAATGCCGATCATATTTATAAGCTTGTAGTGGAGTTTTATCTTGATGATTTTGAGCAACATGAGCGAAATGCTTTAATGAGTGAACTGACATATTATCATGCTCACGTGGTTCAAAATTCTCAATTCGAGGTTCCTACTCTTTCACGTTTATGTGAAATGTTGGTGAAAACAAGAAAGGCAGAAGATTTCAAAATGTTGACAAGATTGATACGTCTTGTGTTAACATTACCGGTTTCCACGGCTAGATCATTTTCAGCAATGAAACATGTCAAGATGGCAATTCGCAACAAAATGGCCGATGAATTTCTTGCTGATAGTTTGACAATCTTCATTGAAAGGGAACTTGTTAGTACAATAGATATTGACTTTCTTATCGATGAATTTGCTAAAGTAAAAGACCGCAGAGTGCAATTGACATTATAGTTTGGTGCACCATATTTGTAGTGGTTTTATTGTAATAAATTTTGTGATGCACTTGAAATTAATTTATTACTACACTTGTGTTTAAAATTTTTTTGATTCAAATCCGGCCCAGTCCTTTATCAGGTCCTCGCTCCGCCCCTGCAACTATCATTTGAGTATAAGAAATACTTCGTACCATCTTTGGTGATCACTCATTAGATTTTTCTGAGTATAAATAACGTGCGGACAAAAAAATCACAGTCCTCTCACAGTCTCACACATCCAAATTATGAAGTCATTTGTCAAGATTTTAGTATTAACACAAAAGTACAACAAAAGCACGCAGAAGAATAAAACAAGAGCAAAAGAAAAGAAACAGGGAAGATTTGAGGCAATTCCAGAGTTGATCAGTTGAACGTAAGTTCCATTTCTAACCACATAACATTATTATAAGAACTCATAACGAAGTTCTTTAATCAAGATCATCTTCCATGCTTGACTTGCTTCGGTATCGGCGATCTGGTTTATAAACATTACTGTCTTCTGTCATATCCATTCCAAAATCATCATCTTCTTCGGTTGTTTCACTTTCATTTTTTTGTTCCTCCCAAGCCGCAATGTGTACTGGAAAGCTGGGTCGGTTCACACTTTCTTTAGAATAGTCTTTACCATCATCCTCCATTGCTATTATACTAACAGGTTGATGAGAATCAATTTCAGTTGGTGAGCTCTTTTGCTTCCACTTTTTCACCTCCTCAAGCACATACATACAAGCTCGACTGTTGGAGATACCATCAATCTCACCACACGAATCCAAACTATAGCGTGTGTATTTCGAAAGATTCATGAGATGATCAGGAACCTTGGGTATGTTGACTTTCATCTGTAGACACAGGTGATCTTTCTTGTTGGTCATTATCTAAGTGGTCGACAAAACTTGGACCAAATCTAACTCGTTTTCATTTTGCATGTTTTCTTTTAAACTGTTTTCAGTCACAGACCAAACCATATCAGACCAGACCAGATCAGAATTCCGAAGTTATAAAATACACAGAGACCAGACATTTACCAGACCAGACTAGACCAGACCAACAAATTTCAGTCCAAAAGAAAACATCATTTGCCTCAGACTCCGCAGGAAAAATCGACGCCAGGGTCGCCGGACCAAGAGAATGACTGCCTCGGCCGGAAGAAATCGGCGCTAGGAATCTAGGATTGTCCTAGATGACGTCCGTAACTTATAATTTCTTGAAAGTTATTGAAAATCATACTATCTTTGTCCCAAATTGATTTGCAAATTTGACTTTTCTTGATCAAACAATTTGATTTTATTTGCTTAATTAGGATGCCAATTTTTAATCAAATGTTTAGTTAATAATGAGTGAAATTTAACTTTTTATATGATTTATTGCATCAACGTGCTCCATAAATTTACTCGTTTATTTGCTGCTCTGTGTTTGATTCTCAAGATACCGCCATGTCTAAAATCTGCGTACATATGTAGTATTCATTCTATTCTAAATTGATCGGAGAAAAAAATTGTATCACGCATGACTTGTGTCTTTTCTCCCTTAATATGTTGCCACATATCATGTACTCATATCATCTAGTGTTATCTTTTTCTTATTTCATTCCATATGTGCTAGTCATACATGGAATTTAGAAAACCGTCAGGGCCGTTGTTTAGGAGGTTCAATAGGTTATCCAGAACAGGGCCCCCGATTTTATGGGGCCCCAAATTTTTAAAAAATTATTAGTATTATATAGTAATATTACATATTAATACTAATCACTAAAATACAGTTAGCTAGTAAAGAAAAAAAATATAGATTCATCATTTTTCTCGTCGGTCCTTTTACTCTTTTAATTCTCTTTTAATCAGTATTCAATTGATTTGAGTATAAGTATTTGGACTAAGATTTTTTTTTATATTTTTTATATTATTGTGGGGTCCCAATTTTAAATTTTGAACCGGGGTCTCCAAATTCATTAGACGGCCCTGAAAATCGTATAGTTGTACATTGAGAATTGTCATGTGTTTTGAGTATCGTTTTAAACATAGATAAGAATAGAATGATATTCATGGTGCTAAATGGTAATCATCATAGATAGGCTTCTATGAGAAAGTTGTGCTTGGACCTATTTTAAGGTTTTGACAAAAATGTAACAAACATAATGGCAAAAGCCAACAGTAGTAATACTAATAAAATTCACAATTTTCTGTCAAAAATAAATAAAATTCACAATTTGAGCCTCTTCAGATCACTTATTTCCGACTTGAGGAAGTACATTACGCTGCTGCATGCTCTGAGCTTGTCCACGCTCCCCATCACTCCTGCGAAGCAATGCCATATTTGTCACTTTTTCCTTGTCAATTTTGCTAACTGGAAAAAGCTTTCAAGTATAAAATTATAATGTCACAAGCAGTCATTGTGAAAGTTCAATTAATATTACCATTCTCTTTGTGTTTTGCACTGCAAAAACAACGATTTTGCATGGACTCAGACACAAATTTGAAAAATTTTGAGCATTTGACATGAATTTGGCACGGATACGTCAAATCCGTGTCAAATTTCATGTCAGTGTCGTTTTGTCACTAGCTATTTGGCACGACACCGTGTCAAAAATATGTCATAATCTGTGTCAAACTCAATCAATCTGTTTCCGGTCCGTGCCAATATCATTGTTTTCTAGCTATAGTGTTATGCGACCAACACCTCTATGTCTTCTTGTTACGAAACTCATAATAAAACGATGTGGGAACTATTTTCTTGGACAAGATGAAAAACAAGACGTTAATTTCGGACATAAAAGACAAATAGTTAGAGTCCATTTATCATTTTTATCACTCAATTTATTTACTAAATTCTAAATTTCTAGTTTCTTGCAGACTCCATTATATCACGAACATATTAACATTGGCAATCTACAAAGTTATAAGAATCACCGTTACATACTTAGGGGTGTTTGGAACTGATTCTTCTTCTGCTTCTTTTTTAAAGCAGAAGTAGAATCAGAATCAGTTTTCAGAAGCTGGTCTCCCCCAGCTTCTAAAAAAACTGATTCTAGGAGTAAATTATAGCACCAGAATCACTGTTGCACTTTAACCCAAACACTCCAGCTTCTGCTTCTACTCCCTGAAGGAGAAGAATCAGTTTTAAGAATCAGATCCAAACACCCCTTACATAGCAATTTTGTCATAAACTTTCACAAAATTATTGTAATCATGCTTTTGAGTTGGGCTTCCTTTTTTGGCTAGAATTTTTTAGTCTCTCTATCTTATAGTATATGTTCAATATTCAATGCCAACATCCTTGACTGGGATGAGTTTCGAACTTGTGACCTCCTTCTTTGAAGTGTCACATGTCATCGAACCACAGGGTGCTTGACGAGTTGGGCTTCCGTTATGAAATTGTTTACCGATAACACTTTTTACAATCTAAATTATCGGTGTTCAATTGACACGAATTTTCAGAAACGTGACTGAAAAACAAAAACGTATATACTCTGTATAAATCAGATTGGAGATCATATGAATTAAATGGAAAAACCATAAGTAGTATTTCTCCCTTTTAGAGATTATTACATGTAGGAAGTTATATTTGGCGGGTCAGAAAAGGAAAAAGAAGAATTCAAAGTAAAGTTTTTTCGCAACGTTTTACTCACAGTATAGATCGCTCAATGAAGACAGTGATGATGAATGAATGCACCTTCAAGTCTGTTCTAAGTGAGATATTGGGTTAATTATCACATAATGAATGTGGTGAATTTTGTGGTATCCTCTCGGAAGGGACATATGAACGATGTAAGTCATGCTAGATCCGTCCTTTGAAGCCAATTCAATATCAATTGAAGCCCATTCAATATCAGTGAAATTGACTGCAATCAAATTCAGATTTATATGTTTAGGAATTTTGGAGGATAGTTCATAAACTACATAGCTATGTGAATGTAAGTCTCGACACTTGGATTACCCAGAAGAAAGAAAAGAATGCATATTCGTGGACATTAAGGATTTTTATTTTTCTTAATACGGACATGCATTTTCTTATTATAGGCGTAATAGCTTAAATGAAACTATATAAATATGATTGACAATTTTACATGAACTGAGTTGTGATTAAATAAGTATTAAGTTTGACTTTCAACTTAAATAAGTATTAATTAAGTTTCTTAATAGTAATATAAATGTCATCTAACACATTAATAGAAAGGTATGAGTAGTAGGGGTGTAGATAGGTCGTTGCTAGGGGCTCAATAAATCCGGTAATGAGAGGAAAAATACTAAAAATGTTTGTTTTACCCTTTGAAGAACTACGACAGTAGTTTGGGTTGCATTTGGTTATGGACAAAACATATGGATTGAAGTGACAATACCTTAGCAGTTGAGCGAATTCAAAAATAATACGAAGTACTCCGTAACCAGGGCGGAGGGCCAGAAATTTTACGAAGGGCATACCGAATGTCAGGAATTCTTGTGTAGTTGTTTAAAATATAATAAAAATAGTAAAAGCATTAACACAAATTATTCAATTGCTTGATTCATATCTATAATCTCATTATTCAATCATACGTGTTTTAATTTATTCAAAAAGTTGTATAATAACTTCATGTTTGAAAAAGACGACTCACGGACTTTTCTGGAATCATGAGCTCATAGACTCTTGTACACTTATCCACGCACTCATAATACAAAAACTGGATCAGACAATATCACTTTCTATTACTCACACTCACTCTTTGTATCTGGGAATATTTCATTCTACCTAACTGGATCACATACACTTCATCAAGCGATATCTTTGAGTCTTCTTCTTTCACAAGAAGGCTCTCACTTTTCTCTCTCAAGGAGACTCACTTTCAACCACTCAAGAGATTTCCTCAAGGTTCTCATAGAAATAGGAAACTTCTTGATATTAATCTCATCAAAGTTTCTCTAGAATTTTTTTATACACCGTACCACTACACATCTAGATTCTTCCAAAAAGTATTCACAAGCTTCTCTAAACTTCTTCAACTTCACAATTATTACTCTAGAATATATTAATCTTCCAAAAAAAAAAAATTCTCTAGAATTTTTACTTAAAATTATACCACGTATAAATATTCTTACATTTTCCATAATTAGCTACTTAGCTAGTACATTTAAAATGTTATATTGACCGATAAACTTGTGGCCAGTCAGGCAAGTTAAAGGCTGGTTCGGGTCCTAGATCGGCCGGGCCTTCCGGTCCGCTTCCGGTCCTATATGTCCGTTTCCAGTCCTCCGCCGGTCATGGTCCGGCCTCGATTTGTAGTTTTCATGCCCCACGGCTTTAGCTTTTAAATGTATCATCATTATCTTTAAAAATGCTTCCAAATGATTCGATTGCAAAAATGGAAAATTAAATAAGAAATTGAAGCCCACGACTGTGACTCATATCCACCACTACCAAGTACCGATAGGTAATATAATTATACAAACCTATAATAAAAGTTTAAATGTTTTATCCCATCGGAATAACAACGAATAAGAATTGTATGCTGCCTAGAATTGTTTGGGGTTAACCTAGATTATTGCGGGTTCAATTTTTAGTTAATCTCGTTTGTTTGTGTTTTTGTAACAAGAATCTAGGTTATGGGTTAACCTCACTTAACTCTCGAGAACCTGGAAAAAACTTAAATTGAAGAACCTCCGAATCGGGGATTTTGGAGGTTAATTTCTCGTTTAACATTAAATGAGCTAGAGTACCTTCATCCAAACAACATTTATTACATTAACCTAGGTTCACCTTATTTATTTCCAAACACTATTTTACTCATAGACCTAGGTTCACTTAGGTTTACTTCATTACACTAGATTTACTTAAGTTCACTTTATTCAAACAGAGCGTAAAGTGTCAC